TACATTTCACACACAAAATCTCATACTCACTTGTGTACAGGACATCAAAGCAGCAACGTAAAATTCGGACCTTTCATGGTAACTAGGTGCAAACAACTGACTCAAATTTTGATCTTCAGATCAACATGAAGATTTAAATACTTTCAAATATAAAAACTTATATGAAATTGTAGATAACCACTTTCAAGAAATTAATTACAAAATTAAATGTTTGGTCAGAAAGGCTTCACAGATTTCAGGGGCAAACACTGAAAGACCAGAGATTCTTAAGCATGTCAAATATTTATACTAGTTTCCCTTAGAAAGTAAAAAAAATCATACAAGGCTAAATACTAGCCAGGTATCTTCTTGAGCAATCTGTGTTTGAATAAAGACACTCCCTTTTCAGATACTTAAACAGTCTTCAACTGTAATACCAAACTACCTCAGATGATCATTCTATGAATGCATGATATATTTATAAACACCTCCTGGTGAAGTAGGGGAAAAAAGCTTTGTAATTCCATCTATAAAATGGGGAAATAATTGCAATTTGCATATATTCACAGGGTGCCATGAAAAAAAAAACAAACAATAAATCAAGTCCCTAGAGAGCTAGGCTATATTCAACTACAGCAGACCCTTTTGGTATGATATCACATGGCTCAAATGAATTCAGATCTTCGTCGCTGTTTTTTGAAAGATATAATCAAAAGGCAAAAAAAAAATTAAACATGTGCTAGCTGCCTAATTAAATCTATGAAGAGATCATTCTGCTCAAGATGCAAGAGAAAACAACAAACCCAGCTGACAACGCAAGAAGAAGATAGAGCACTAGGAATTAGAAAATACAGTCTGGCAACATCCCACAATCTTATGAACCTTGTCAGCTGCCCTTTGGATTTAATAATTTCAGTATCCTGAATACTAGATGCTTCTACCTCACTTTTTAATGTGACATTACATTACTTGAACATTTTGGGTATCATACTGCTTTCCTTGAGGATTCCTTCAGTTCTTAAAATTCCAATTTATACATTCTTCAATTTAAAAAAAAGATGCCGTCACACTGATTGCACATGTCAGTGGTCCTTTAATTCCTCTTCTCGTCTGGAAGGTTGCTCCTCAGCGGTGTTTGATCAGTGCTATGAACACTACAGATGCTTAGTGCACACCTGGCAAACAGTGGTTAACAGGATCCTGATGAATTGCAGCAGGGCTCTCTCCTGATGTGGAAAGCCTTCTGTATCTGGCTGAAAGTCAAATTTTTATTGCAGAGAAATCACTACCACTGATTTTGCACCTAATATTACAAGTGCACAGAAAGAAGTGAGAGGCCGTGATGCCAAAAAGCTGCATACAAAAAGTATTTGCTGGTTAGGGTGACTTCAGTTACCTCGGGAAGACACAACAACACAATCTCTCTGCAGAATTTCATCAACCTTCTGACTTACATTATAGCTGATCAAGAAAAGGCAAGGACTGGCACTCTAAGAACTGCTAGAACACTCAAAACCTGAAATCTGACACTCTACCTGGTCAGGAATCTCCTACTGCACCTCAGAAAACCTGAGCACAAGCCACGCTAGCACCCCATGCGACTGACCACGTTCTTCTCCTAGTACAGATGAGCCCTATGTCCCACATCAACAAGTTTGCAGTGGGGCTTGAACACTCAATAAAACACATCTCCATTAACGCAAGTCTTGAAAGGAAGCTGTTTCTCCAAACTGATTTTGAGAATCACTTATTCTATCACCACCTCCAAAGTCCACCTGTTACTGAATCTGACAGTAACAAAGGTTAAAAATGCTCAAGAAGAGGTCCTCAGCTGACAAGACATGACAGAGTATGAGGGAAATTAGTAATTCAGTAACAGGTGTTTGAATGAAGAAGATTAAAAATGTCTCCTGTTCTGCAGACACTAGTACATTATATATTCCTATTTTGTACTTGCTGTACTTTTTAAATACACACAAAATCAAGTTCAAAGCTGACTGCAACATTTGCTTAGCCTGAGAAAGGAGACAAGTGTCAGGTGACCCAGAGGAGCCTCCCCAGCAGATTTAATGGTGTTAATCTGACTGTGAAGGGATAACAATCCAACAGTTAAATACCACTAGACAAGATATTCCTTCTCCCCTTCACACTGACCTCTTTGAGCCATCACTGGTCTTCTCCAGATGTGAAGGGCTGGCTCAGGAAGCTAAGGGAGCAGAAAATTAAAGAAACATGAAGAGCTTTGGTTCTTCATGAGTTCACTCCAAGGCACAGACAGTTCTGATGAAGGACTGACTCTGGAAGATACCAGTGCTTTTGACTACCCACATCAAATTTTGTGAAATGGAATACAAAACTCAATTTCTGCTATTATATTAGTAAGCAGGAATGTCAATTCAGTATCAGAGTTTCCCACAGCAGGTATTTTGGAAACAACTGACAGACTCTATTATTGGAAAAGATACAGGTTTTGGACTTCTTTTTCAAATCAGGTCAGTTGATAATTTGTCTTTATTACTTGATGACACAACCCATTATCTACTAGTTCATTGCCGCCTCTAGCCTGTTATAAATTAGATGCCTCATTCCACTTCTAACTCTACAACAAACACAAATCTGATCCAGTTATTTGTAGCTGCTGCATCTTCCTAATTCCTGTCTTTTCATATAATGCAGTTTGAAATGACAAAACATTCTGCTTAGATATGTGCTGGAACTATACAATTATAAAAGCCCCAAAGAACTTATGCAAAAAGTAGTTAAAGAGCCCTTAAAACTAGTCTGACTGTTACATTGCTACCAGCTGTGACCAGATTTCAATATTCTACAAATTAAAAATCAATCCTTTCACAACAGAAGCTTTAGAGATACCAGTGCCACGGCTATAGTGTTAGAAATACACAAGAATGAAGAAAATCAAATTCTGTAATTACAGGAAGATTACCAGAGGCTTGGTATATCACAACACCAAACAGCAATAATTGGGCCTCAATACAGCAAGCACAGATCCCAGTCAGCTTATGAAGATTATGTTCATCACAAGATACCATCTCCAAACCGCATTCTCCACAGGTATTTTGGAAATAAACAATGATTTCCTAATATATGTGTGTATTTAAATCTTCTAAAATGCAATGTATTCAAGTGATTTTGAACCTCACGGAAAACACTACACAGTATATCTAAATGGACTTATTAGGTGTTTGCTTTCTGCCAAGAGTCACAAACATTTCACAATGTTCAACCATTTACTTGTACACTAAAGCTTAGAAAATTCTGCAGCAATAGCAACCAAAGAGGCTTTCCACATCTGTACCTTACTTCTTACCCATGTACTTCTTTCCAAGGTACAAATATGTACACTTTTATTCTCCCAAGAGTATATATACTGGGTTTAAAGGGTAATAAAGAAGCAGCTGGAGTTAAAAAAAAAACTCCGCATGAGAGTACTGGATCTTGTATGCTCCCAACAGGAAGTTACCTGCCACCTGTGTTGTCACTTTACCTACTGAGACTCAACAAGTCAGTGAACCTTACAGCAGGTCCAGACTACCTTAAACCCACCAAAACCAGCTGTTAAATCCCTACTCCCTCCCGGTATCCTCTCTCCTGTGCCTAAGTGAAATGCAGAGAGCTGACCAATCTGTACTGTGAAATATTGGAAAAAACTGCATTGGTACAAAGTTGCTAGGTGTAAGATTTCTGGGTCTGCTACAACACTTATCTGTTTCATGAAGCCTTGGAGGGGAATACGAGGAGACAGCAAAAACTTTACTTAGTGCACAGAACAGCACCCAGAACTGAGCTGGTAGCCATGTCCACTCATTTGCTAACAGTGTGGAGGTATGGAACCTCCACTGCAAAAAGGCTTTGACACTTAGGAACACGGCTTTAAGCCAGCCTAATTCCAGATGCCCAGATACTGCAGAGATTTGGCCTCCCCAGAACAATGTTCCTTTGCTCACAAAAAATTGATGGCAGAATGATTGAAAAATGGGACTGAATTCAAGCATCCTCAGGAACTAGATCCTCACTGTTAGCAACACAGGAGCAGTAAATACACTGAATCTGCCAGAGCTGATGACTGAGATCGAGGCTAAGCCCACTTTTTTTCTCTGCCTCATTTGGGGTGAGAATGCTCAAAGTATAGAATGAAAATGTATCCATCAAAGTTCCTGATCCCAAAGGTGATACAGACTTAAAGATCACACAACTGCCTGTAAGTGGGAAAACGACAGCAGTGACCAGGACTTCAGAAACTAAAAATCAAATATAGCAGGAGTACAGTGAAAGATGACAGAGTGGCTGTGAGAACCCCGGGCTTGGTTAAGGGGCCTCGTGTGGTGGTAAAGTCTCTCCTCCAGCCCGTGCTTCCAAAGAAAAACTCCGCAGCCTCTTGTTGTTCAGTCTCAAGGCAGTTTATTGCTCGTTATCTAAAAGATTGTCTTTGCCCGCTGCGGCTGTTTGGTCAGCGGCCCAGGCAGAGGCACACACACTCTCCTGACACCCTCACTGTCCGGTGTCTTCTTCTTCCCTCCCCCCGCCCAGGGCTGCTGCTATCTTTTATATGCTATATTACATATTATATGTTTACAGATTTTCCCTAATACCTACTACCTATGTTACAACGTGCTTTTCTACTTTAAACCAATCCATAAGTGCCAGCATCACCAAGAACAGGGAGGCAAGGAAGAAGGAGTAAGAACAGGATTAGGCCCACTTTCCTCCATCTTAGAACTTCTGACCCCCATGTACAAAGTAAAAACCCCCCTGTACAGGTGTTAAAACCCCCCTGTACAATACTAAAAAAATTTCCCCTCTATTTTGTAACTACTTCTACTATACCATCTAACCCTTTGTGACTGCTTGTTCCACCTTCAAAGTTGGTAACTCATTCCATGGCTCAAACTCAAAATCACAGCTGTTTTCAGCTGCTTACCAGGGTCTAAAATGCTTCTGACCAAGGCCTGGAACCTCCAAAAATGTCTGAGGGACATTTTGAGTTCCAACAAGTGGCTACATTTCCTTTTGGCAAACAGCCCTCAACAAATCACAGAAGAATAACCCTACAGTCTATCCAACAGAAGATCGAGGACTTGTCTTCTTTTGACTTATGACTGGGGGTATGACAAGTATACAAAAAGGAAATTTTAATCCCAGTCATGGAAGTGTTTTTACATAAAGTTATTCAGTTTATAACTCACTAACTGCTTTCTTTCTAGGTTTTAGGTTTCTTTCTCTCATTGGTTGGTTTTCTTTTAAATGAGTGCACATAAGAGTTTTAATTTAGTATGCACTTTGCTAATTTCATGACCACACAGTCTCATTATATCACACACAAAAAACACCAGCAAGTCATGCAGACATCCCTACAAATTATAACACCTCTGCTTATCAAGACTTTTTCCTCAGTTTTACACAGGGATGCTGACTAATCCTGACAGAAATAAACAGGCTGACTGTTTGATCCCTCACCTTAAACAACAGAACTGTGAGTCAACAAATGGGTGCCTGCTACTGTAATAAACAATAAGTAACATTTCTAATCCAAAACATTGAAGGAGTAAATAATGATAGGAAGGATGTTACTCAGCAAAGAATGAAGCTGAAGAACTGCAAAAATCAGAAGATGCAAATTAGGTTTTCTAAAATCTAAGCTAGCTTAGATATCAATATAAACAAATAAACACAGTTACAGTGAGTGTCACAAATTAAGTGATTGCAACTGTTTAATTTTGTCCTGTGAAGCCTCAACTGTACTGCAATAATTAGTGCTGGACATTTAGGGAAAAAAACATCACTGAGACTTAATACTCATGTCCACAATCAACAAAGGAAAGCCTTCTCATTTTATCTGTAACAATTCAAAAACCTCTTTCACATCTTAGAAGAACACAGAATTCAGAAGGCTGTGAGGAGAGAACTGGCAGTTGTTTGTCCAGATGAAGCCATGAGTGCCTTGGCTCCTTATTGATCAGCTCTGCAGGTTGAGGTTAACTTTGTCCGCTGCTAATCACATGTAGCACCTATAAAAATAAAAAATCTCACTAATTAAAGAACGAACAGAAACTCACATTCAGTGAAGAACACTTACCAAGTGGTAGGTATTTGATACTGCTATTATCCCTTTTGAGGACTAAATATTTTTTTTTTAATATTAATACCCCAAAATGAAAATTCCAGTTCAGTATCAACAATTTTACCGCCCTACAAGAGGAAGACAACAAAGAGGTATGGAACTTCCACCCAAACTTGAAACTAGAAAAAGGAGAATGAACCTCTACAGGTCAAAGATTCAGAACCTTTGATTTCTGCTCAACAGATCTGTTCCTTTGCTCTTAGAAAATCACAATGGGATCCATAGTGAAATCCAAAAGTACTTATTCATCTTTTGTTTCCCTTAAAGTTGCATTAAGAAAAAGCAAAGACAATTATATGTCCCAGCAAACCCAGTAATAAAATACAAGTTAAGAACAAATTAAAGGAGTAAGTATTTTGGTCTGCCAGAAGAGTCTGTTCCCGGAGGGGATCAATAGCAACTCTTAAGTATTTAATAGCAGTCAAAGGAAGATTACTAAAGAATGTGTTCAAGCCTGATGTGTTCAAAGGCAATGACTGTCTCCAGGCAGAAGGTGACTCAAGAGCCACTGTTTTCAAACTGAAGCTGAGACGGTACAGCTTTGAATATTTTAAATTTTCCAGAGGATATAATCTAGATATCAGATCATGATTTATCATGTCATCATTCTAAATACTTCATTTCTCTCTGGTGGAATTTGACAAAATAAGAAGATGTAGATCAATGCCAATGAAAGCACTGTTGCCTCCTGATGTCCAAAGATGAGTAGAGAAAAGTGGAGGCAGGATCTCTATGTCAAACTCTTTATTGCAGTACAGGGAGCAAAACAAGTGTATTTAATTGCTGACAGTTGAGAATCAGGTATATTTGATTTAGAAAACAAATACTTTGACTACATAGAGACAATCTGCGCAATCAGCAGGTCAGTCTGTGTACCAGTTCCTCAAGAGAGGCACAGTACCTAATGGCAATTATATAGCTCTGCTGTGCTCATTCGTTCTCCACTCTAAACTTAACTTACATTGTTTTACTTTTAGAGGCTTGAGTTAGATAAAGTTTACTCCAGAAGGGTACTTCTAACATGAACTTTTAAATATCCAGATCAGAAAAGAATCAAAAAGGAGGTTTAGTAGAAAATATCAGACATTTAACACAAATTAAACTGTTTTGAAAGACACTGAAACATTTCCAATCTTTAATAGTCCTTTACATGAAACTAAATTTCATTTTAGCATATCTCCATGGGTATACAACTTTAAAACACCCCTGCATTTTATCTACTTGTTAGTGCAAAAGAAATATGTTACCTAGATTTTAACCCTTTTCAAAAGCAGATATGACAGCTTTAACTACATTACCATTATTGGAGCTCTGCACCAGTCTTAGGCACAGCCACAGAAAGGAAATCAGTCAGCACACTGGAAGGCTGGGATATACTTCTCCGTAACAGCAAATACACTACTCCAAAATAATAACTCCTCTTCAGGGGGAAATGAGAGCTAAGCTACCTTAGCTGGTCTGGCAGAAGTAATCTCAGCAAAGCTTAGGCAGTCCATTCTCTCCTTCCTCCCCATGGAGGCAGATATTTAATTCCCCTCGTCTTGAGCATGCTATAATATAAGCAAGCGTGGATGACAGATCAGCTCACACTAGGCATGAACATACCTAACCTTTCCCTGTTTAGAGCTCTGATGGATTCAGGCCAGTTACTGAGAAAGCAGCAACAAAGCCAGTAACCAATACGGAGGGATGAGACAAGGACAAAATGAATGAGGAGCAGCAGGAAGAGCCTCACTGGATGAGAAGAGGAAAAAGAAATGTACCACGCCCCCTCCTTACCCTGAGAAGCTACTGCTAAACAGAAGGATGGGCCATTTTTAGTTACTTTCTAACGTTTACTAATGTTAGCCAGAAGTGTTGGAAGTTATCATACTCTTTACATGCAAGGTTTTCTGTAAGAAAGATTCACCACTGCAGACTTAAATAAAAATTAAAGATTGCTTTATACTGTGAATGTCATCTTAAAGACACTGCTGCTGCTAAGCCTGACCTGCATAAAATTGTCTCCACCCAAACAATAGCAGCAGAAGTGTGAATTCTGCTAAAATACAGAATGTGCTTTCAGAGCACTGAAATTACAGCCTACTGATTACAGAGTGAAGTGATAAAATCAACAGAACCATGGAAAACACCCTCAGGTGAAGTCAAAGTAATCTGACACATATTTAGGTTTTCACTCCAGCGAATCCTAAGCCGATTTCAATTCTAGCCTGATTTCAGAGCTCCCTCCCCCTTCCTTTCCTATTACAGAAACTTAAATACGAGATTTGGGATTTCCTCTTTCAGCTGCGAGTAGAAATGAAGATGTGTCCGATAATGACACGCAGATTCGAAGACCTCTGGAACCCCTCTAAGGGACTAAGCTCCCAATAACCCTGAAACTCTCAAATCCGGGGGAGTAAGCTACTACCCCATTAGCCTTACCGAGTACCGCACTCCTTCCCCATTTAGACGCAGATGCCCAGGAAACCATTACTGATGTGCCTACCAGCATTTCAAAATAAAGTATAAAAACTGAAAAGAAAAAAGGGGTTGATACACGGTAGGACAAGAAACAAAACGGGCCAGCGCAGCACACCGTAACCATGCTCACCAGAGCGTGGGAGCGGTCTCCGGCACCGGCAGGGGCCTCCGTGCGCGGCAGCGGCACCGCGGGCCGAGGGCAGGGCAGCCCCGAGCTCCGGCGGAAGGGCCGCCACCGCCCCGGGGGGGGCGGCACAAAAGGCGGCCGGCACCATTGTCCGAGGCCCCATCCGAGCGCCGGGCAGGGGAAGGCGGCGAGACAGGGAGGCCACCGGGATGGAGCGGGGAGCGCGGCGGGAAGAGAAGGCGCCGCATCCCGCCGGCCCTGCTCGGGGCCCGGCGGGCCGGGCGGGCAGCAGAGGGGCCCGCGGGCGGCCCGGCCGCGCCAACCCTTCCCCCGCCGCCGCCTCCGCCCCCCGCCGGCCGCGCCCGCCCGCATGACGGCGAAGAAAAAACCCCCCTCAGGCGTTCCCCCCGCCGCCTCCGCCCGCCGCGAGCGCGGCCCAGCCCGGCCCGGCCCCTCCTCCGCCGGCCGCTGGCGGAGGCCGGGTCCGGCCAGGGCCCCGCCGGCCCCACACGCACCTCCGCGTCGCGGCCCTTGTTCTTGAAGCTCTTGATGCGGTGGCTCTCCAGGCCGGTGGCGGCGGCGTTCTCGGCCATGGCGGCTCCTGCGAGGCGGCTCCGGCGGCTCCCGGCGGCGGCTCGCGCGAGGGGCGGAGGGAAGCGGGACGCGCTCCGTGACGAGCGCCAAGGGGGAAACGGGCGGGGAGACGGGAGGGAGGGGGGGGCCGCTGGCGCGCGCGCGCGCGCCGTTGCTGAGTGACTGGGAGAGGGGCGGGGGGGCGGAGAAGGGGCGGTGCGGGCGCACGTGACGCGAAGGGCGGGCGGACGCAGTCCAATCGCGGCGCGGTGTCGCGGCTCTGGTCCCGCCCCCTCACCGCCCAGGTCCCGCCCCCGCCCCGCGCGGCATTCTGGGGCGTGTAGTGCCAGCAGGCTGCGGCTCCGCACGTGCAGCGGCGGCCCGGCCGCGGGGCTCCAGCTCGACGCCGGCGGGAGAGCCGAGCGCCTAACGATGCTGTGCACACAGAATCGCAGAACAGGTCAGGTTGGAAGGCACTACAGTGGCATATCTGGTCCGACCTCCCTGCTCAAGCAGGGCGAGCTGACAGCACATGGCACAGGATCGTGTCCAAATGGTTCTTGATATCTCCAGTAAAGGAGACTCCACAGTCTTCTCTTCAGGTAAACTGTTCCAGTGTATGGTCACTCACACAGTAAAGAATTCTTTTGTTATGTTCAGGTGGAGCTTCCTGTGCATCAGTTTCTGCCCATTGCCTCTCGTCCTATTGCTCAGCACCACCAAGCAGAGCCTGGATCCATCCTCTTGGCACCCTCTCTTCACTTACTCATAGACAATGATGAGATGTCTCAGTCATTTCTTCTCAAGGCCGAACAGGGCCAGCTCCCTCAGCCTTTCAACACAGAAGAGATGCACCAATCCCTTATTCATCTCTGTAGCTCTTCACTGGACCTGCTCCAGGAGCTCCGTGTGTCTCTTGTGCTGAGGAGCACAGAACTGGACCCAGCACCCCAGATGTGGCCTCAGCAGGGCTGAGTAGATGGGCAGGATAACCTCCTTTGTCCTGCTGGCAATACTCTTCCTAATGCATTGCAGGATTCCACTGGTCTTGTTAGCTGTGGGATTTTCCCCGCAAATGCACTCTGGAGTGACCCCACTGGCACGGCTCATGCACAAAGTGGCCTCAGGCAGCTCTGCCAGCCAAGGCTGTGTCGTGGGTCTGCTCTGCACCTCCCTCTGCTCCTCATGACTGCAGTAACATTGCTGCATGCAGCCTGGGAAATGCTGCACAGCAAGCATCTAAGAAATCCAGGTGTTTTAGAAGCTTTGAGTCCCCATTGGTGAGTCTGCCACAAAAGCAAGCCCTGACTGGGAAAAGCAAATCCAGCGCTTTGCCAACATGCCCTTCATGCCACACTTGTACATGGCAGCTGGAGCTACATACCAGCTGTAATGCAGAGCACAAAGGGGCTCTGCCAGCCCAACAAATTGTCCCCAGCCTGTCAAAATTATTGCAGCACGACTCCCTCTGGGAGTGTTTGGACAGACTGCAGACAGATCCAGCACCTCCGGATTGATGGTAGCCTGGGCACAGCAGTTTGGGTCAAATAGAGTGCCCTGAAGTCACACCAGGAATTTTCATGGTAGAAAAGAGGATGTATGTGGATGATGTAGTTGTAGACAGTGGTAAGTGGTATCTAACACCGTTTGTAAAGCAGATTATTATCCAAGAAAACCAAAACCCCAAAATAATGAAAACATGTAACCTTCACATCTAGCTAATCTTACACCACTCAGGTTCTGCAACAGATCCTTATAGCTATATATAAATTTTTCACATACTTCTTTCAGAGGTCTCTAATTGACAGCTCAGCTTTTTATTTGCCTTCTCCCAACCCTTCTTTGGATCATTCAAGTGACTGTAACTTGTACCTCACGGCTCTGGCAAAACAAGGCTTGCAGCCTGATGGAGATGAGTAAAAATCTGGAAGACGAATGCACTTCCTCACCATCATTGAGCTGTGTGCCAAATGTTCTTATCTGACAGATCAATATAGCATTTCCATCTCTCTTGTTTCCAAGTAGTTTTGACTCCCAATACACTTTCCTCCATGCCTTTTCACAAGAGTTTTATCTGAGTGTGCTGCACCATTGTTGCTAGGAGTGGAAGAGAAGAAGGAGTCAGAAGCAGGCAAAGCCAAAAAGGCACAACCAATGTGGCCAGCGTTTGGCAGAGATGGCTTCTGGGCTCTGTCACTTGCACCTTTGAAGGAAAATTTGCTCCAGCTGTCTTCAGGAGAGCTCCTAAAGCAGATTCAGCAGCTGAGAGCTTAGTTTTACCCCTCTGAGGAAGGTGGATGTAGCTACCAGCTGTGGCTGTCTCAGGCCTGGTAGGACAGCAGAGCAATGCTGATATGATCCCTGCTAGGCAGGATCTGTTCTCCTCTGGAAGAACTGGTCACATTCACCATGAACAAAAGATTATTGTTCAGCACCAGTCAGCGTAAACTGAGAGGTAAAAGGAAAGCTTGCAACTAAATATCAAGTGTCTCCAGGTTGGGATAACTCAATTTACCAATCCATAAATCTATACTCCTTCCACTAGATAGGATTTATAAATTCACTGGTTTTTTTCTTCCCCATATCTTCTTTGATACAAGTCCTTCAGAGTTTCTATAGTGCATTTCATTAATCCCGGTAGACACTCAGGAATTGAACACCTCTTAGACAGAGCTACGTGGAAGTTTGTTTGGCTTTACTGCCTGAATAAAGCTTTATGGTGAAGCTCTTCACCACAAAGAGTTTTGGTAATTGAAGTTGCATCAGAGAAAACATTTTGATGCAGTTAACCAAATCATACTTTTTGGCACTGTAATTAACAGACACTACTAAAATATAAGGAATGACTACTTTGCTACTTTAAAAACAGAATGAGCCGTGTGGATCTGGGTGGCCGTTCTTCATCACCATTAGTTTCATATCAATGTGTTCATGTTGCCAAGACCTGCAAGATATGTGTCAGGGCCATGAGCACATTTGACTGACCCTGAGCAGCCTCCCCGTGCTCCATTTCCATCCCTTGCCCCAGTGATGCTGCAGTGGTGCCAGTCTCAAGCTCCATTGCAGCCCTGGCCCAAACGTGGGTGCTAGATGTCCTGGCTGGGTAATGGGAAAGGGTGAAGGGAAGCAAAAGAGGGTGGTTAGGGCCACCAAGGTCTGTGGGTGCCTTCAGTGCTCTGACAACATAAGCCCTGTAGCTTAAAGAGCTATGAGGAGGAAAGATCTTTCATAATTCAAAGATAGGGGCAATAAGAACTTTTCTGGTGTCCCATTACTGGGTGAAGCTGAGTAGTGCTTGTTTCTGGGATGACCTGTTGACTCCAGCAAACAGCCCAATGACTATTGCTATATTTTGGGAAGAGCACATGATCAGCTCAGGAGTCCACCTGCAGTGTCAGAGACAGAGGCCACTCACCCTGTGGTTGCCAGTCACTTGTTCTTTTGGAGTCAGCAATTTTGTCTGCATCCACCAGTCAACAGAGCTGCAAGAAAACCAGCATGTAAAAAAAATGTAATGAACCTGAGTCATATTCTTGCTGGCAATCCCTCCAAGAAGGACTGGGGAGGTTTAGGTGCACTGCTTTGAGATGCAGTCCCACCCTACTAATGGATATGAGAAGGCGAGGCAGGAGAGACAAATAAAACATGTCAGCTCCTCAGTCCCTGTTCACAGCCATGAGCAGCTGAAGCCAAGACTTTAGGGTGGAGGAGGTATGGATGCCTCCCCAGCAGAGAAGCGGGATGGCTGGCAAGGTGGGATCATCTTGAAACACTGCTGCTCACTGCTGGTATTGGCTACAAACTGCATCTCAAAAACAGTCTGTAAAATCATGCAACTTGTAATCACAGGAAGGTACAAGGATTGCTACAGAAGTTTAAGCTGTTCACGAAATCACCCATGGGTCTTGTGCCTTGCTTGCCCACCTCAAAATGGGATATCCAAGCACCTCTGACCTGGGATGCACAAAGCTGTCACGAGGTGTTACCACTGGCATGGCAGAGCGAGAGAAAGCCTTTTTGCCCTATGAAATCTGCACTGTTCATGTGCTCTCTAACTCTCAGCAGACATTAACTTTCATGCCTTGCCTTCTAGTACCTCTAGAGACAGCATGACTGGGGCAGGCTCAGACCCTTGCATGGCTGGGTTCCCTGCCCAGACGCTCTGTGGCTGTCCTGCTGTACGTACAGCTCTCCACCAACTGGCTGAGCAGCGCTTTGGGTGTTGCTCTCTTACAAAAAGGGATGAGTAACGCATGAAGTAAATTAAAACAGTGCCTTTGACACTCATTTTCCCTTAAGGAACATGTATTGTTTTGGTGAGACCATTAATGTGTGTTTGCAGTTCTCTCCATCACTGAGGTAAAAAAAAATTGTCTTCAAGGAAGAGTTATGTTCTTACCACATTGCAATTGTGGCTTCGTAATGACAGTGAGCTAAATCCTGGTAGACACTCCAGCTTTGTCAAAAGCTGCCAACAAATGCCCTGTGAGCTAAGAGGTAATGCTCCAGGAGACATGAGATAGATCCACTGAAGAGAAGCCCATGGTAAGTTGCTGTGTAGAAAGATCCACGACCCCCAGGTAAGGAAACCCCTAAGCTGAAAACTGTTGAAACACTGCGAAAGTGCTGGGGGAGCATCACTTTTTTTCTTGTTCTTATGCTTTTCTCAATACATCTGTTTACTGGTGACTGTTGGAGATGCAACAGTCTTGCTGAATTCTTATTCAAACGTGCTTTTGGTTTG